AAGAAAACTTGATTAATTAATGTTCCAGTTTCGGTCAATATCCATTTCATCTTAAAAATAATTACTTTTGATATGAAATCAGAAAAAAAAAAAAGCTTACCTCATAAACCTTAAGGGTAAACCGTTTTATATTAAACATTTAATTTTGAGAGCTGTATGATGAGAAATTAAAATAGTTAATTAAAGATTGCTTCAAGTGTTGGAATACTTATTATTCGCTAATTTGAATTTACTGGTTAATTCTTGGTAAAACAGATCCAATGTAGGCATAACTGGAGCATCTACTGAATGCATCAAAAGATATTTTCAATCTAATCATTCTTTTAAAAACAATTAATTGTACAACTAAGAGCATATAATAACAGAGTACTCACCCGCTCATAAATCGTTTTATTCAGCAGATAATTGAACCTGAAAAGAACTTCATAAAATTATATATAAAAAACTTCAGTCACTAATTCAACATGGCTCCCGTTCGAACGAAAAAAGATTGTAACTGAAACTTAAAATTCACAGTCACAGTTAAAGTTCCGTTCCCGCGCGAAGAAAACTAAACTTCAACAACCAATCAAAAATTGGAAGAGCATACGTTGTCGCTAGAATCAGACACAGTTGATTCGAAATATATGTCTTTTTGCAAGTGGCAACTCGTTTCAAATGAAAATAAACGGGATGGAAGCGCTTGATGAGATAATTTAAAAGATGTACCGTCTTTTTTTACACAAGCCACAACCAATTCAGCACGAAAAAATTTTGCAGTTATAAGAAATATATGTATACATCATGCGTTTGTCAAAGCACTGAAAAAACAAAACTACTAATTTCCCGCTTTGAGAGATTTATTTACAGAAAATAACTTTTATAGCATAACTGCTACGTATCTGTGATTGTCGCAGCATTCGACAATGGGGAATATTAACTATCGAATTTCAAGATGAGATGTCTTTATTTGAAAGAATATGAGTATTTCATTGTTGATAATACTTTATTCACATTCAACAGTAGTTAAAAACTCAATTTTTCCTGTTGAATTTACTGAATAGAATAACATGATTCAAGATTCTTTTTAACATTTGAAAGTGAAAAATAGTTATAAGCTTAATAACAGTTCATATTAATTACATTTTATGCATTCAATAAAAGAAAATGAGAGAATAGCTTTTATAGAAGGAAACTCTGGTTTGTTTCTCTAAATTGAGGTGCAAATAACACTTTTTTATGCAACTGCCTTTTAAGTGTATGAATCTTAAACAAGATTGAAAAGTTTGTTTCGTACGCAGCAAGTGCATGAAACTCTGCATCATCCCTTTCTCAAATGTTGTTATTGATTTTGATAGAATAACAGTTAAAATTTCAAGTTCTGTAGTGTTATAATGTTGAATTGTTCAAGCATTCCAAAGTAGGGCATTAGAAGTAATGAATTTCAAAGAGTATGTGTATTGACATGAAGTTATATACTCACACCTCACTTCTTGAACCATCCTTCAGAACAGTGGCCAGGAGAAATCCAACATTAAAACCCAAAAATGACATGTTTTTTTTTTAAGGACATGCCACCTAGGTTCATTTGTTGGTAATGGAACACACAAGAACACAGGTATCTGTAGATAACTGGAAATTCTTATTAAACGGAAACACAACACATTCTCTCCAAATGCAAATCTTTTCAACATGCATTCCTAACTGATTAAATATTATATTCTTTATGAAATCAAAGTTTTCAGTCAATTGAACAAGAGAAACGACACTAAAAATACATCATTCGAAATCTATTGCATTTTCTGAATACATTTCAATTTACAACTACAGTACAAGTATTGTAAAAGACTTCATGTTTCTATCCTAACAATTACTGATTGACTGTTGATTACTGCAAGTGAATACACTAAAAAACAAAAGTTCCCCGAGGGACAATGTGAAAGAAACAAGTTTTAAAGTTTCAATTCAATTGGAAAAATAGAAACATCATTCAAAATTTAGTGACTTTTCCTCAGAATTTAATTATAGGGAATTTTTTGTTTATAGGAAGCAAAAATTACACCACTGAATTCAAAGTTTGCGTTCAATGGTTCCTTTTTAAACACTCAATTCAATATAACAAAACATTTGCAAAAAACCAAAAAAAAAAAAAATTCCGTTATCGGATAAAGTTACAAACGAAACATACAAACTACTATTTCTGTTCACACAATTCAATTTCAGATAAAAACAAAGAACATTCGATCCATTTTTAAAGAACAAACATTAAGAGCATATGAAATTTATACTCGGAATATTTACACAGAAATTACCGATTTGCAGCATTCTCCGAAAAAGGGGGGCAATTTAACGTGAAAACATATATCGTAGTTATTACGATCTGTATAAAAAAAATAATAAAATTCCGTTTGTCCTGAAATGGCTTCCGAAAAACCGTCAGAGGATTCAACGAAACTGAAACTTAACAGTCAAAGTTGAAGTTACATTTCCCGCGCGAGAGGAAAACTCCATCAGCCAATCAAAAAAATCGAGGAAGATACATGTCGCTAGAATTCAGCCTCGGAACATTCGAACTATATGTCTTTTGGTGAGTGGCAACAAGTTTCAAAACAGAAACTAACGGCCAGGAAGCGTTAGAATGTTTGCAAAACATTGTAATAACAAAACGATGGTATCGTTGCAGAAATTTAAAAAAAAAAAAAAATGATTTCATAATGAAAATTTTACGAAACATGAGAAAATTTCGAAAAACAAAAAGATTAATATGCTATTATTTTCTTCTTCAGTTGAATAAATTTTAAAAAGCTAGAAACAAAACCGTTACCATTTCAGCTTAAATCCAGTTATTTAAAGGATATCTTGAGAAAGGTAAGGTATCAACTCTTAAAAACATGAAGTTCATTTTGTTCAGACATTTTAATGAAGGATTGATAGTATTATTGTTACATGAATGTTAGAAACTTTTAACAGTTAGGGGAGGGGAAGCAAATAAGCCTCTTTTTTGTTAACGAAATTAAAAAAAAAAGTTAAATGAAAATTATCGAGATTTAATATAAATTTTGAATAATTTCACTCATTGACATAAAGCGTATCAATAATGGATTGTTAGGAAAACTGAAGTTTCGTTCATGTCACATGCAAATTATAGCAAAATTCATTTTCAGGAATTCAATTTAAAGTAATTCTACATTCAAACCAGTAGTTAGCTACATAACGGGACAGGATACACATTCAAAATGGGGATGTTTCTGAATTAAAAATGCTTCTTCAAAAGACATTAGAATTCAGTTTGGAAAAAGAAGTGTTCAGAATTTACTTGAAGGTGACTGATTCAAAAAATGAGTATTACATTTAACTTGAAAAAATTGTAAGAAAGGAGCAAGAAATTACAGATTGACAAGACAACTGGATAATAGTATACATTTGTCATATGTAAACAAAACTTGTGAAGCTTCAAACACCAGCATTCAGATTTTACTTTAATATAAAAATTAATTCATTTCACAGTAAAAGAAACATAGAACACTTTAGAAAGCAAATTCTACTTTTAACACAATCTTATTTGACAAATATTTTTAACTTAATGTCAAAAAAGTCCATTTTGGAAAGAATGTCATTTCATAAATGAGCAAGTATAACTGAGTATTATTAGCCAAACTAAGTCTTTTTTTCATGAGAAAAAAACTAAGACTATATAAACCTTTAGGCAATTATCTGTATATA